TTATGGAATCTGCAGTTCAGTGGTCACGACGAATCAGGCGAATGCTTAAATAAATTTGATTACTCAAGTTGTTGTGCGTGCCAACAGGTTTCGCGGACTGTCAATGTACATAGCCAAAAACACAAAAATCCCATCAGATTCCGGGACCTGGTGTCCGACGTCAGTGATCTGCAGTTCGACGAAAACGGCCACTGGATGGCCCAAAACGACCTGTTCAAGCGGATGGGCAAACGCGGCGTGGACCGGMTGTTGGAGCGCAACGGAGGACGGTACCGCGACCACGAGCAGCTGCGCCGCTTGAACAAGCTGCAGTTCGACGACGCCACCGACACGCTGGGCCGGGCGTTGTGCGCCCGTGATCCGCTGTCCGTCCTGTGCCACGGTGAATATTGTCGGGGTAACGTCATGTTCCAGTACGACGATTGCGGACGCCCGTTCGACGCGCTCATCGTGGACTTCTTCGAATCGCGTTACGGGCCACCTTCGCTGGACCTGTCGCTGTTCCTGTACACGAGCACCACGCAGCAGGTGCGCGGAACGCACTGGGACGACCTGCTGGACGCGTACTGCGCCGCACTGGCCGCGTCCGTCCCGCTCGGCGTGCGCTTCCCGGATCGCGGCGAACTGGACGCCGAGATGGCCACGTCCTCGATATTCGGGTTCGCCGAAGCGTCGCTCATTTTGCTGTACAATCTGCGGGAAAACAGCGACTCGCTGTTGGGCACGGTGGCGACCGTTGACGACCCGGTTGAGTATTTTCTGGCGTTGGGAGGTGATGTGGGCACCGACAGATTGGCTGACATGGTATACAGCATATGGTCGACATGGCATATACGCAGCCTTACTCGGGTAATACCATTTGAATTTGTGTAAAACTATTCAAATAATTTTAAGTGCTCAAAATKTAAATATATATGTAAATCTAAACACATATTATGAAGAATGTATATACCAACAGGCGGTGGTTTTAATACTTTCCTACTTTCTCAGAGCATCAGTATTTAAAACAAAATACCTATACTGATTTTCAAACACTTTTTTTTTTAAGGAATTGGTAATTTTTCACTATTTATAACACAAAATCACATAAAAATAAATGATTAATATTTACCTACAATAATATAACATTTTCGGATCTTTGTAAATAAGTCGCTTTCTGTTATATCTGTATAACGTGTGCAGTAAGTAGTTCTTAATATCGATTCATTTTTACACRCTATTTAAAATCATTAATTGAAATTTAAAAAATTAATCAAAAATTGAGAGGATTACTAGAGATTTCGATACCTTATATCATYAAATATAATGCCAAGGCACTGAATAGCAGAAGCTTTACCGACTATAACAAAATAACGATATTAGTTGTTATTTTGTTGTWATTCAAAAAACATTATTCATAGGGACTTGCACATTTTCATTACTGTTGCTAATAAAAAATAAAATACTAGTAGTTTATATAAATAATAAAAATATATGTATAATAAAATATAGGTTAAATGATCATCACAATTCTGAGTTAACTTTTGTGTAAAGCACTCCGGATCCTATACGTTTCATGATATTACAGTATAAATAATTACACTCCGGAATCAGACGGACCATTTACAAATTGCTTTGTTAATTTTTCAAAGTTATTTTATTACTAGTTATTATTTACTTTAATTATTTAGGATTTTTAATTGTAATCAAGGTACCTTATAATTAGTTTWAACACAGTCTTAAGTTCAAATGTGTACACAATTAAATATTTAAACATAGAATTATGATTATAGCAATTTTTTGTAGTTTTAAAATATGATGACAATATTATAGTAATATAGGCAGAATAATAAGGCGGTCATGAACACATGATAAAAAGTAAATGCCTGTGACAATGTATTTTACTAATATAATATAATATTAAAAATTTTTGAGTTCTATTTTGTAATTATTTTATCAATTAATTAATCTATTTAAGTTTTGAGTTTACTATGTACCATTTTAATCAAATTGTACTTGCAGAAACGACAAAATTACTGATCGTGTTTTTTTGTTTCAAATCAAAAACTTCATGGTAATATTTCTCTCTCAAAAAAAAAGGATCATAGCAGTTTAATACCGACTACTAAACAAACTCCATTTACATACAAAATCACTATTTAAATAAAAATAATTTTTAGTACACTGCATTTTGCGGATTTTTTACGTTCCATAGTATTACAGTACAAATATTTACATTTCGAAATTATATGGTCCGTTTACAAATTGCTTTGGTAATTTTTCAATTTTTTTTTTTAATTTTAATTTTAAGGGAATTGGAAT